AGATACTCTCAGACAAGCTGCAAAGAAGACTCCGAGGCCAGACTCGGGAGAAGCAGAAACCAGCTGAGCTGCCTGAAGAAATTAGACCAGAGTGACTTGGAGAGGGCACTCTCCACCCTGCTGAGCTGCCTGCAGGTTGGGCGATGTGCTCCAGGTTTTCCGGCTTTTGCGAGCTGGCACCATGTGTGTGGGGGGGGTGGGCCTTGGTGATGCAGCTGTCTTTGAGTCATTTCTGCTCCCATAACAACCCCATATTCCTGGAAGTAACCGCAATAAAACTCATTGGTTTACCAAGTTGGACTTTGGTGATATCTGCATTTTGGTTTGTGCTGGGTGCTTTATCTGGGGTGAGTAGACATGTGTTGCATTTCCCTAGGAAAAATTTTGTCACACAACCGTGCCACGTATGGGTACTTACAGAAGCCAGGATAGGACATCTGATCCCACGGATCTAGAGTTACAGGTAGTTGAGAGCTGCCACACACGGGTGCTGGGAACGAAGACTTCTGTCCTCTGTCACAGCACCAAGCATTCTTAACTGCCAAGCCATCTCTCCAGCTCCCCAAATAAATTATTATTATTTTATCAAGACAGGGTTTCTCTGTGTAGCTTTGGCTGTCCAGGAACTCACTCTGTAGACCAGGCTGGCCTGGAATACAGAGACCCACCTACCTGCCTCAAGTGCTGGGATCAAAGGTGTGCATCACCGTTGTCTGGGCTCCAAATAGATATTTTGAAAGAAATCAACCACAACAACCTCAGGTGGACTTGTGAATGCCAAACAGACCAGAGAGGCTCCAGTGATCTGCAGAGGCCTGGCTTACAGTGAGCTCTGTGCTCACAGTGGCCTCTCATGCCTGACTCTTCCTGAGACAGGAATACGTCATCGGGAGGCAATGTTGCCATTAGGCACAGGTGTTTTTCCAAACATGCTGATAAACAAACAGTTCAATAAATTCGTTCTGATACATTCTATTTCTTAATTGACAAGAGCAAGGGAGACAGGACGTTGGAATTTGCATTCTATCTCTAGCAAATGCAGGCTTAGGAGTGAGTCTCTGAACTGGAAGTTCAGAGGTAGGCTTGCCTAGAATGTGTGACACCCTAAGTTAAGTTCCTGGTACTGAAAAAAAAAAATCAACAATAAAGTAAGTCCCTGTACACATTCCACGCCCTTAGTCAAGGCCTCCACATCTACTCCAATATCATTACTAGTTAAGTCAAACCAAGGATGCTTGACACTTACCTATGTGTGACATGTTGCTCAGAGGTTCATGACAAAATGATGGGCCCTTTCTGAATCTGAAGCTCATGGCCCAGAAACTCCAGAGAATCTCCTGTCTCGGCCACTTCGGTACTTAGATTACAGGTGTGTGCTGCCATGCCCAATTTTTTTTTTTTTTTTTTTTTTTTTAACCCAGGTGCTAGGAATCTGAACTTAGGTCCTCATGCTTTTGTGGCCACCACTTTACCAACATTGCCATCTCTCCAGCCCCTCCAAGGAATTTCTTATGCACACACAGTCATGAAGTTATTTTGAAATGTGGCATTGAGTTACCTACTGAGACAGGATCTCAAGTGTGTAGCCCAGGCGGACCTTGAACTTGGCTATATTCTCAAATTTCTTATTTTCCCGCCTCTAGCTCCCAAGGGATGGGATTCCAGGCAAGTGCCACCATGCCACTTACGTGGTGCTGGGGGGTTGAACTCAAGACTTTGTACACACTAGGCATTCTATGAACTGAACTTAAATCCCCAGCCAAAAAGCAGCCTACATCTACAAGAAGCTTCATAGCTCTGTGACTTCTTCCTCCTTCTCTGTGGCACGCAGCTGCTTCAGTTTGTAAAAGATAAATCTGCACCAAGAATTCCACTGGATACGATTTCCTGTTGCTTTCACCTTAGAGGACAGAAGATAGTGTACCTTGCCAACCCTGGATCGCCACACAAACTCCATTTTTACAGATACTGTTTTTTCTTTAGAGGTGGCTACTGGGTTTAAATTGGGGCAGGTGTAACGGGAGAAGACACATTGTAAATTTATTATTTAACGAAAACATCAAACTTATTGAGCTTAGCTCTAACACACATACACTCTTTATATACACGTGTGCACAGGCATACACACACACACACACACACACACACACACACGAGATGCTGGGGACATAGCCAAATGACAACACATTTACTGAGCATACTAAGTAAGGCCCTAAGTTCAGTCCCTGGCACCACAAAAAATAAATAAATAGATAAGATAAAAAATAAATTAAAACATTGGGGCAATGCTCCCGGGTTGTATTTATTGTGGCTCAGGGTATTGGTTTATTTTCAGCTTGTTTCCAGAATATGCATTTATCTTTTTTTAATTTTTTTTGCAACAGGGTCTAGCTGGCCTAGGACTCATTATATAGACCAGGCTGGCTTCTAACTCAAGAGATCCTCCTGCCCCTGCTACCTGAGTGCTGGGATTAGACGTGTGCTACCATGTCCAGCTGGAATGAGTTAGACAGGGTCTTGCCGTGTGGCCCAGGCAAAGCTTGAACTTGTTTTGCCCCTGCCCCAGTCTTATAGTCTGAACAGTTCTTGGTGGGTAGCCTCATTCATATCTCATCGTAGTTACTGTCATCTCTGGATAGTGGTATCTTGAATTGGGCAGTGTAAAGCCTGGGCGGCCTTATATCAGTCTTAACTCTTACCAGACGTGGTGGCGCACCTGCACTCCTAACATTTTGAGACAGAGGCGGGAGACTTGTTTTGAACTCAAGGTCTGTCTGGGCTCCATAGTGAGGTCTCAAAAACAAATGACAAACCAAAATCTCAAGTCCAAACTTACTTGCTTCTGTTACCTTTGAGCTCGGAGTTCAAAGTGCCAGGACTACAGAAGAGCAGCACCACAGCTGGTGTTCAGGATGACTTGACTCTCACCCAGCCGGGGATTCACATCCTTCCTTAGTGATATCTCTGCTGCCTCAGAAACCAGGCAGAGACATATGTAAAATGAAAGTTAAGAAGTCCAAGGGCCGCTCCACGTGGAGCCATAAGAGCAGACTTCCTAACTTCCATCTGCTACAGCAGCCCAGGGCGCACTCTGAAGTCCCATCAATTCTCAGGTGGTTTCTCACGGTTTCATGCAGCTGAAGGATGGTGAGACTTTCACTAGAAGACAGACTCCTGCAGGCATGTCCACACAGGGTCCAATTTATTATCTCACTAGCACTGACTTAATCCACTCAAAACTTTCCACTGGACTAAAAAAAAAATTTTTTTTTTTTTGTGAAGAAGGAAATATCTTAAATACCCACTTAGCCTTTGTTTACACTGTTCCATTGTTTTTTTCTATGATGTAATGTGGTCAGTTCACCCTGCATAGTCTCTGCTGAGCGTTTGCATAGACTCTCTACCACTGGGCTAGATTCCCAGTTTTCATTCAGTAGGAAGATATTGGAACCCGAACTTACAATTGCTCAGTTTGAGTATTCTGGAGCTTTGTTGCTTCTGGTACAAAGCTCAGCCTATAACACTTGAAACAGTGTGCTGGGCGCTGGATGAGAGCACAGAGACAAGGGGTAGCTGCTAGCTCAATATGAATTTATCTGAAATCCTAGCAGAGCAATAGCAAGAACAATACTATTACTGCAGGCCTTAAAGGAAAAAAATAAACAAAAAGAACCCCCTGTTCACCGCCCTCCTACCTACGCAGTGGGAACAAAGGGAGCCTTGTGGAATGCTGGGCTGGTCCACTCCAGTCAATGTCAGGTATCAGCTATCAGCTACTCTACCTTCCCTGAATAGCTGGGAAATGGAAGGCCAGTGCTCTCAGTACCAGTATCTCTCGTGGACACACCCTAGACCCTCAGCTCCAGGGCACTGTTGAATTATGTAGGTTATGGCAGCTTTCTGCTCGTTTGTTTACTCCTCCTTGCCTGTAGTTTTCTATGCATTCATTTAGCATGTGTGAATTTGTGTGCATCTATGTGTCTATGCTGGTGCATGCGCACACGTGTGGAGGTCAAATGAAGCTATCCACTTATCTCATATGGGAATAGTGCCTCTCACAGAGACCCCAGGTCCACTGCTGAGGCTGCAAGCCCCACAGGTCCTCTCATGTCCACCTCCTCGGTGCTGGGATTACAAACTAGCACTGTCGTGCCTGTTTTCAACGTGGATGGCCAGGGTCAAACTTGAGTCCTCATGCTTGTGTGGCAGGTGCTTTGCAGACGAAGTGATCCCTCCATGGGAGAGGGTTTCTCTGTGTAGAACTGACTGTCCTGGAACTTGCTTTGTAGACCAGGCTGGCCTCAAACTCACAAATATCTGCCTGCCTCTGCCTCTCGAGTGCTGGGCTTAAAGGCGTGCACCACTATACCCCACACAATTTTCAATTTTTAAAAAGTATCTCAGGTTCATGTAGGTGCTGACTCTATAATGACTCGCATCTATGAAAGCAGGGAGGTAAAGGCAGCCAGGTCCTAGGCACCTGACATAGGTCACAAAGCACACACAGGTGTTTGAAGATGGTTTCTTCTGACACTGCTGAGGGCTCAGAAGTGTACATACTTGGAGTCTAGGGGACATTTAGGAGCTACTCTTTACAGTATCATTTCAGATACAACGGCAGGTCAGTCTGCTGATCCTGAAGCTGTAACAATAAATCCTTCAAAGAATGCAGAGCGGGAACCACTCATTTCTCCCTCTGAGCACTCTATTTTTTTTGTTTGTTTATTTTTCAGAACAGGGTTTCTCTGTGTAATCTTGGCTGTCCTGGACTCAGACCAGGCCGGCCTCCAACTCAGAGATCCACCTGCCTCTGCCTCCCTGGGTGCTGGGATTAAAGGTGTATGCCACCATGCCTGTCTCCCTTTTCCTTTTCATGAGGCTGTTACATCATGCACACATGGTGCAAGGCATTCTAAGAGACAAGGGGGTGGGTCTCAAATGGGGGAGGAAACCAGGGAATCCTAACACACCTCTTAGAAATGAAGAGCCAGATCCGGGGACAAGGTGGGAGGTGACACACTTTTTTCACAGAGCTGTCACACAGTGTGACTATCCTCAGAGGCAGGCATGAGAAACCAGACACTCAGCTACAGAAGGAAGCTGGGGTCTTTGCCTGATAGCTTTTAATGTCTTTGAATCTGACAGGTGGTCAGGTGCCTTTTCCAGAATAGGCCAATGAAGACAAGTCCACTTTGGTGTTTAGAGCTTCAGTCAGCTCCCTGGCCAGCAGCTCGTGGAGAGACACGCCGTCGTGGGAGTACACCCAGTTCTTCCCTGTCCAGTCATAGCGCTTGGGGCCACTGCAAAACAGAACAAAGTCATGGCAAGTCAGTGAGGCCCCTCTTCAGGAGAGCCACTGTGTTTGGACTAAACCAATCAATTATCTCTGTATCTCTGTCTCTCTCTCGTATCTTTTTTTATTTTTATTTTTCAAGACAGGGTTTCTCTATGTAGCCCTATCTGTCCTGGAACTCGCTCTGTAGACCAGGCTGGCCTCAAACCCAGAGATCCCCTGCTTCTGCCTCTTGAGTGCTAGGGCTAAAGGATAGATAGCTATCTTTGAAGACAGAGTCTTATGCAGTATCTTTTGGATACAGGCCTGGACCTCACTTGGCCTTCCACTTGTAGCAACTCTCCTATCTCAGCCTAAGTGCTAGGGTTAAAGCAACCACAGCTAGCTGGACTGGATCTTAAAGGTCCCACCAGGGCCACAGTTAAAAAGCCCATTGTCCAGCCCATGACTCTATTGCAAGTTGGGAAGACCTTGTAGAGGAGGGCCTAGTGGTGATGTGCTAGGTCACTGGCAGTGTGCCTTGACCGCCCAGGCGACTGGGAGCTTGTCCTGTCCCCCTCTGCTTCCAGCTGCCAGGGGAGCAGCTTCCCTCTACCACACAAGCCCCTGTCACGTTTTGGCTCACTGCAGGCCCAAAGGCGACAGGGACAGTCTCTGACACTGTGAGCCAAAACGAATGCCTCCTTTCAATGGATAGCTAACAGAATCCACACAGCTGCCTGTCCCCCAGAGACTGAACAGCTGTAGCTTGACAGGAAAACACAGGGAGATGAAGTTTTGATTTCCTCAGTTAGCGTCTTCCCAAGAGCAACAGTGGAACCTGTCCTCTGGAACACCTCACAGCCTGGTCCCTGTGCAGCACATTTCATCTCTTGCTTTTCTTACCCCACACAACACCTGCTATCTGACAGTCATGTGTGGGAAATGATGGCCACTTTGTACCACTGATGTGATCTGTGCCCGACCTACACTATTATGTCACCACTAACTCTGTCTAGGTGCAAAACACCCCTATTACTCTGAAAAAAGACCCAATACCTACCTACTACCTACCTACTCTGCCTCTCCCAGCCTTGGCTACCACCTGTGCGATTTGCTGGGGCATGGCGGTACAGGACTTCAGTCCTAGCACTTGGTAGACAGAAGCTGGCCTGGTCTATACAGGCCAGCCACAGATACAAGGTAACTGATTCAAAAACCAAACCAAACTTCCTTCTTTCAACAGGGTCTCATGTAGTATGAGGGAGCCTCAAACGCCTTAGGTAGCCAAGGATAACCCTAAACTCCTCATGTTCTTGCCTTTACCTCTCAAGTGTTGGGATTACTGGCATGTTCCATAATTTCTATTTAACAGTATTTTTTAATTAAAAATTAAATCTGTTAAATTGAGAGCTTCATCAGCGTGTCCCCATATTCGTTCATCATCTGTTGCTGCATGTACTCTATTCTCTAGGCAGCGAGGAGAAAGAACTGGGATGTGGCTTTACACTACCTCCTAAGAGTGCCACCCTAAGAAGAGTGCCTTACTGTGAGTGTCTTAGATCACAGGGACAAACCCACAAAGGGGAATGTGGGTCCTGTCTAACGTCTCTGTGTCCCTCCTTGAGATGGGACACTGCCCCTACACAAGCTTCCATCACAGTGTGCCACTGTACAAGAGGCCAACCCGTGTCCCTTGCATCCCCTCAGTCTTGGACCCTGAACTTCTAAAACTAGCCTTTTCCCTTTATAAGTAACTTGTCTCAGGTGTCTAGCTGTAGCAATGTGAAGCTGACTACTACACAGTACTGTGGACACACTGTAACTTTTTTTGTCATGATTTGTTACTCCAGATGCACAAGTCCCAAGCCTCAAATTCTACCTCTTCAAGAGCTGGAGAAGAGAGTAGATACAGTAACAGGTCATGATGGCATTTGGGGACATCCTGATGAAGGTAACAGGGAGCTGAGACTTCATGATCTAGGACACCCAGGTCCACCTAGAACACTCAAGTCAGGTCAAAGGTTGTAGGGTGAACAGTCCCAGCACCACAAAAACCAAGAGAAGACTGAGGTGAGGTTGGAAGGCACTCTCCTGGGGGTAGAGGAAACACAGGAAGTAGCTTTTGTAGGATAACTGTATGGAGGCTTTTAACATTGCCAACCAAACACTGGAGCCAACAATACAGAGAAAGGGGTAAATGAACAGGCAGTATTTCTGTTAAAAGGGCAGATACCTCTGAACACAAACTACCCAGCCACATTAAAATGTTCTTTGGTCCTGCACCCCAAACCAGCCATCAGGTAACCAGGTAGACTTTGAACAACTCAACATTGCCCAGGGCTCTCAGGCCCCCACAGCTCTCTTTTACCCTATCTTATGGCAAGGTGGCCAGGAAATACTACTGTCTCCACAGGACCTCAAAAGTTTTCTTCTGAAATAAGAAATTGTAATCATGGCCCTGTGAGATATATTCTGGATAAATATGAAATTACTTCCAGGGTGCTAGAGAGATGGCTCACTGGTTAAGGATATTTGCCGCTCTCCCAGAGGACTGGTTTGATTTGCATCACATTGGGCTGCTTACAATTGCTTAGGACTTCAGCTCCTAAGGAACAGCTCCCTGTTCTGGTTACCTTGGACATGAGCACTCATCTATAACCATGGACACATAAATAAAAATAAGCATCCCCCCTTTATGAAAGCAATCGTGACGAAGGGCTACTCAGAAGATTCCCCCTAAATCCCTCATATAAATTAGGTTTTTAAAAAAATAATCTTTTAAATTAATTAATTTTATTTTTATGTATGACTGCTTACTCTGCATATACACCAGAGGATGGCATCAGATCCCTTTCCAGATGGTTGTGAGCCACCATGTGGTTCCTGGGAATTGAACTTAGGACCTCTGGCAGAGCAGTCAGTGCTCTTAATCTCTGAGCCATTTCACCAGCATCTAAATTATAGGTTTTAAATTTACTTATTTTTATTTTACATGAATTGGTGTTTTGCTTGCATATTTATCTTGAGGATGTTGGCTCTCCAGGTACTGGAGTTACAGACAGTTGTGAGCTACCATATGGGTGCTGGGAATTGAAGCCAGGTCTTCCTGGAAGAGCAGCCAGTGATTGCTCTTAAGCACTGAGCCATCGCTCCAGAACCAATTACAGGTTTTAAAAGGAGTTTTCTTGGAGTTTTTTGTAAGTGATTAATTATCCCACAATGCCTGATATGAATGCCAGGATCTGAACTCCAGTCCTGGTACTAGAGCCAGCAAGGGCTCTTAACCACTAAGCCATCTCTCTAGCCTCCTCCAGGATAGTGTTGTTTGCTTGTGTGTTTGTTGTGATGCTGGGAATCCAACCCAGGGCCGTCTCTCATGCACTAGGCAAATTCTTTGCCACTGAGCCACATGCTGGCACTTTTTAATCTTTTTAAACTACAATATCATTGGGCTTTCAAAGAATTCTACACTGCTTCTAGCTGAGCCTTCCCCACTTTGCCTTCAAAGTGTCTTCTTCGGGGGTGCTGCCGAGCCTCGGTGAGGTTAGCTTTCTCTCTGTGGGCGTCACCTCTCTGCCGTCCCAGACAACTCCAGTAGCAGCCATGTGCTCACCAGTAAGCTCTGAGTTCTGAGACCCAGGCTGCCCGCGGTGTACCCTGCTCCTGCTTCAACCACAGGTGCATCGATGGGATGGGTATGAGATGCGGGCCCCGGAGCCGCTGCTAAAAATCTCTGCACCCCTGCCACAGAGTCTGAGCCTGACTCTGCCATCAGAATTACTGACACCTTCAAAATAAGCCAGGAGTTAAAGTTTAACTTACTTTGAGGACAAAGTGCAAGTTTCTTAGATACTGCAATATAAAAAATGCCTCTCTCACTCTCTCTCCTCCTTCCTTTCCATTTTGGGAATTGAATCCAGGGTTTATAGGTCACTGGATAAGTACTATACCACAGAGATACACCCCAGCCTTCAAAGTAGCCTTTTAATTAATTAATTATTATTTTTTTTAAATGCCATGTATGTGGTACCATATCTAACAAAAGTGGCTTTGTATAGCCCTGGCTGGCCTGGGACTCACTCTATAGACCAGGCTGGCCTATTTGCTTTGTGACACGGTCCTACACGATAGCCCAGATTAGCCTTTGAGCCAGCTATGTAGCAAGGCTGGCCTTGAATTACTGCCTTTGCCTCCTGAGCACTGAGACTACAGATACGTAATCCTATGCCTGGCAACATTTCCGGCCAATGACATAATAGACAAAACTGTCTGGGCCAGGTTCTGAAAAGTTCCTTTTGCGTCAGGTCTTGTCAGCATCCTGATACATGAGGATAGCAATCAAGGTAACAGGGGAGAGGTGTTCAACCTGAGCGCACCTTCCTGCCAAGGCAGACAGCTGCAAAGCCATGGCAATGCCAGCAACAGACACCCTCTCAAGTGGTACCCAACACTGCATTCCAGATGAGCACACCCCTTACAGACTCTGACTTCTGAACATACCTGGAGGGAGAAGATAGCCAGATTTGCTTGTTTGGAGTCTGCTTGTTGATCACGTAGGTCCCCAGGTCCCCGCCCAGCTTAATGGTGAGCACGCCACCCTAGGGGGTCACATAGAAGAAAGCATGAAGAAAGTTCGATTAGCTAGCACTGTGCTATCTATCATCTATCTATTCATATCTCAATGCCTTTCATGTGTCCAAGGACATAACACACACCATTAAGAAATGGGGACGGGAAGCAGCAAGCTGCAGTATGTGTTCTGGCACTGGGAAGCCCCATGTTCAATTCTTGGCACCAAAAACAAACAAAAATTAGTACTCAAAGCTAGGAGCTTGTATAGTAAAAACATTATTCTCAGGATCAGAATGGGTCAGTGTTGATGAATTATTAATAAGGGTGGCAGAGAAGGACCGCCAGGAGAGAGAAGAGGAAGAAAGGAGCAAGTCACCATGGGTTAGTGTGAACTAGAGGCATGTGGCTGGGAGGAGCTGCTCTGAGCGTTGGCGTGATGGAGAGAAGCAGCCCAAAAGGAAAACATGTGAAAGTATTGATGGGGATTTTGGATGGGAAGTAGACAATATAGCTTCCAGGGTTGGTATCTGCCCACCCCCAGTACATTAAGGCTTATTTAAAGTCTAACAGGTTTCTGTGTCTTTTATTTATATAATAGTGGGTTAAGGAGTAACTGCTGCTGTATTAATAACCAGCTTTAACTAATATTAACAGAACAATTCCATTCACATATGCCTTAATAATTACATTAATAAACATTAAGTATTAATAATTCATCAACAGGTTAGAGTTTTGCTTTACTTTTATTTCTGTGTATGTTTCTGACCAAGTATATGTGCATGAGTGCCCTTGGAGGTCAGAAGACACACAGGAGCCCTGCAGCTGGAGTTTCAGGGGTCTGTGAGCCACCTGATGTGATGTGGGTGCTGGGATCCAATCTCGGACTCTCAGATAGAGTGGCAAGTGCTTAACCATTGAGTCATCACTGAAGACACCCAAGTACATGGATGGTAACCGCCTGAAGCTCATAGTGCTTTCCCTCTGCCTGTGTGGTTGCCAAGAAAATAAAGGTTAAGAGTTGCCTGAGATCTCAGCAATGGTACATGGGACGGCTAGCTTGCTGTCCTCACTGCCAACCAGAACATGTACAAATGCAGACTAAACTCTATTAGTGTCTGCCCAAATGTCAGACCTGATGAGGCCATTATGAAAACACAGAAAGCCGGTGCGGTGGCAGAATCTATAATGTCAGTGTTTGGGAGGCTTGAGGTGGGAGATTTTGGGCTGGATGCCAGCAGGCTGCACAACAAAATGCAAAACACAAAAAGAGAGAAAAATCAACGCCCTGCCTTCTTTGTTGTGGAACAGGCGGAGCGGCCCCAGCCCACCTGTGTTATTTCCAGACCATTCCCAAGCTTCTGACAAGTGCCCAGAGACTCCATAAGGCTTTTTTTTTCCTCTAAAAAGCCTTGCATTCTCAAAAGACTGGCCAGTCCATTTTTGCCCAATAGATGAACATTTAAATTTGAAAACACTCAACAAAGGAGCCCTTCACTCTCTAGGCTTTAGTCTCTTTAGAATGGCAGGCTATGAAACAAAGGGCTAGGCACTCAGTGCCCTCTAACAGCCCCCTGTATTGCTTCTGTTAAGCAGGTGGGGGCCTCTTGCCACCCAGATGCACCAAGGCCTTTCTCTGAGCTCTGCAGAGTGCGCATCCAATCAGGAGTCTTGGAATGATTCTCACGGCACTGTCCTATAAACACCACCCGTTTAAATAAATGCTAGAAGCTGGGACAATAATAATGCAACTAATGGAGGAGCACTAGTAAGTTCTCTCTCTCTTTCTCCTCTCTCGGACATAGGGTTTCACTAGGTAGCCCAGGCAGGCAAAAAACTGCCTCAGTTTCCCAAGTGCCAGGCATGTGCCACTATGCCCAGTTTCTTTCTTCTTTCTCTTTGTTTTTAAAATTATAACACTTTTCTCTGATTAAAACAAAACAACAAGCAAAAAAATAGGAATTATGCTGTGGCTCTGTTGAGAGTGCTTGCCTACGACACACAGGCTCTGGGTTCCATCCCCACGTGGATCAGGCTTGGTAATCCCAGGTCAGAGGTGGTAGAAGGTCAGAAGTTCAAGGTCATCTTTGACTACATCCCAGTTTGAGGGCAGCCTGGGCAACATGAAAGCCTATCTAAAAACAAAAATTAAAACAACAACAAGCTATCCCAAACCAAGCACAGAGAGTTCCTGACAGAGATGTTGGGCACACAGGCAGAATAAAACCAGCAAGACCCTCAGCAGACACACTAATTCTTTCCTTAGAGTTGCAGTTCCCAACCTTTCTAATGCCGCACCCCCTTAAATACAGTTCCTCACGTTGTGGTGGCCCTCAGCCACACAATTATATTTTTGTTGCTACTTCATAACTGTAATTTTACTACTGTTCTGGACCCTAATGCATTTTTGGAGATAAAGGTTTGCCGCAGGGGTCCTGACCCACAGGTTGAGAACCTTTGACTTAGAGCCCAGTGTGTGCCAGGATCTGGTTACACATGGGAACTGCTTCCAACAAGACCTCGGCTGTGGAGGTAGGAATCGCTATCTTAACTTTACAAAGGAGGTTCAGGGGGGCACAAAACAAAATAAAACATTAGCGGCCAGCAGAGTTCTTCTGAAATGTAGGGGCGTTTGGCCTCAAAAATAGTTTCTCTTCTTGTAGGCAACGCCTTCACCCACCTGAACCTTCATTCTCAGCTGCTGTTTTATATATTTTCTCTTTTCTCTCTGGAAAAAGACATTAACTTTGCCTGTAACCAAGTTACACACTACAATTGTTGCTCGAGAGCCATTCAGAAATCTCTCCACCTTACAAAACTGAAACCCTGCACACACTCAGCGGTAATTCCCCCCAAACAGCGTATAAATTAGATACTAATTCCCCCTCAAAACCAGCCGTTCCCAGCATGGGGCTCTTTGCCCAGCTGTACAGTTTCCTGCTTCCCGAGATGGGCTAACAGACGCAGTGAAGCCACACACTCATCTCTGACTTACCTATCGGTGGATGATAAAAGTCCCCCGTGTGCTCCACCCTGCAAGCGGAGACGTGAAGAAGGTCCAGCACAAATGCCGAGGACTGACTAACTCTCCAGATATGACCGCCAAGTCCATGCTCCTTCCTAACCTGCACAAGTCCCTTCATCCTGGCCTGGCTCCTCAGGGAATCGTTCAAGGGTTCCACCCTGTGCCTGGTCACTACCACAGGGAGAGACTGACTGTACCAGGGACAGCCATCTTAACCGCTGCATCCTTAATTTACTCTTTATGACCCCAACCTTTGGAGGGATCCTGGAGTGCACATTGATGTATGCTCCCAAAACAAAAACAACCAAGGGGAAACCACCCACAGGAGACCTAGCTCCACAACGCATAGGCTGAAGACAGCATCTTTGTCACAGTCCCCTCTTGCTCCAGGACCTGCTGCAGGTGCTTCTGGGAAGGTTATCTGGGCTCTTGGCAGAGTCCCCGCAGCCTCTCTCCTGCTTTGACCCACTTCGGTATCAACTTGTGTGTGAAGGAGCCTGTTGTCCCCTGGCCCTCACTTCCGGTATTTTGAGTCCCTAAGAAGAGGTGATCTGTCACCAGACTCAGTCAGCACCTACATGCTTCCACCCAAACACAGGATGTGTGTAAAATGGACCAGTGCGCCAACAGAGACCTAGGGGACCCTGTGGTCCCATCTGCCAAAATGAAGGGCAAGGTTGCCAAGGCAGAGATCACAACGCTCAGGTCCTTTTACTAGCCAGGCTACTGTAATTAGAATCTTTCCCTGGGGCTTTCGGCTACTCCGAAGAACAGTGGCAGGAAGGAAGAAACCAGCTGCTACACTGGTTTGCCAGGGGCTTTGAGACATTTAGAACTGTCTGCAAGTAGATTACACAGAGAATGATTTCAGTTCCCCACTGCTATTCTTTAGCCAATGTGAGTCCATTTTGAGAGTGTGGGTAAGTGCGGGAGAGGGCTCAGAGATTAAGAGCACTGACTGCTGCTCCTCCAGGTTCAGTTCCCAGCACCCACATGGCAGCTCACAACTGTCTGTAACTCCAAGATCTGACACCCTCACAGACATACATGCAGGCAAGACACCGATGCATGTAAAAATGAATTTGAAAGTATGCTTTTGCCATTTCCCCCCAACATTCTGACAGCCATCTGTGCTACATAATCCTACGACTTACTCCAAAATGCACACTTCATGACATTTCCTGGTATTAATGAATTGCTGTCAAGAGGATTAACCTCTGTCCAGATTGGGGGTGTGGTGGAGGGGGATGAGTAAGGAGGAGACATTTTTCTCCTAATGGTAAAGGCCTAACCAGACCAGAGCTTAGTCTGCCACCTGCTGGCCAGCATATGAACTGCCCAAGAATCTGGTGGCCGGGGTAATGCCAATTCAGAAGTTCTCAGTCATACATTAGAATTTCAGGAAAGATAATCCAGCTCCTCACCCAGGGAACATTACACACTAATTAAATCAGAATTTCTAGGGGCTGGACTCAGGGATGTGCATCAGAATTCTGGGTGAGCCAGGATGTGGTGGGGTATTAATGGGTCTCTCAAGGCCAAACTGGTCAACACAGCAACAGGACAGCCGGGGCTACATAGAGAAAGAGCCTGCCTCAGTAAACAAACAAACAAACAAACAAATAAATAAATAAAAAAATAAAAATCTCACAATGGGCTTCTTCTCACAGGAGGACACAGGGAGTATGGGTGGGGCTCACGTGTGGCGTCTGAACCACTCCTGGGCAACTGTCCCTGCTGAAGGCCAAGCACCTAGCTCAGGGCTTCCCACAGACACCCACAGCCTGGACTTGACTTTTGTGAGGATAAGGCGGAGCCGGTACTCTACTTTTTATTCTTTACTACTGGGGATTGAACCCAGGGCTTCTCCCATGATGGGTTAAGGGCTCTTCTTTTAACTGAACTACCCACCACTTACCTACCCATCCCTTCCCTGAGCTGCCCACCTGCCCCTGGGAATCCATCTTTAGACAGGAGAGGCTCAGAGCTGCAGAGTGACTTACCCAGGGTCCCTGGTGGAGTGGGCTGTCACACGAGTCCTACCACATGTTCCAACCACAGTCTATGCTGGGGATGGATACTTCAGAAAGCTGGAGGCTATTCTTTCTTACTCTATTTATAATCATTCTGAGTGTGTGTGTCTGGGAAGTGTGTGTATGTCCGTGTCCACTCCCATGGCACGGTGTGAACTCAAATTGTCCTTCCACCTGCACGTGGGTTTGAGGACTGAACTGAGGCTATCAGGTTTGGAGGCAGCAGCTCTACCCACTGAGCTCTCCACCACTCCCCCGACCCCTCATTTTTGAGACAGGATATCGCTAGGTAGCCCTGGCTTGTCTAGACCTCACTATGTAGACTAAGCTAGCCCTGAACATTCAGTGATCCTTCTGCATCTACTCTAGAATGTAGGATTACAGCTGTGTGCCACCATGCCTGGGGGGGGGGGGGCAGTCTTTGTTTAAGTAAGTTACAGTTAATTGTGTGTATGAGAGGTGACCTCAGCCCTCCCCACCCCACCCCCACAAGACATGAGTTCTCTATGTAACCATCCTGGTTATCCTAGAACTCAAGGAGAACCACCTGCCTCTATCTGGGATTAAAGATGTGAACCACTGCCAGTTTGTTCATTTGTTTTTTAAAGCCAGTTTGGGCTTGTAGCTTGGGCTCTCTTTAACCTTGTTAGGTTGCTGAGGATGACCTTGAACTTCTAACCCTCCTGCCTCTACCCCTGGAATACTAGGATTATAAGGACGTGCTACTATGCTTAACTTTACACGGTGCTGGGTTTTGAACCCAAGACTTGGTGGATGGTAGGCAAGCACTTCACACAAGTTACATCCCCAACCTAAGCTACAGTTTTTAAGGAGAAAACATAAAGAAAGCCAAGAGGTACCCCAAAGGAGACATCGTAGTCCTCCAGGGTACAGGGCTTGTCTGCAAGGTCTTCAAAGAACTCTGCCAGGGCGTCCAGCGTCTCTTCTGCGAGTCTTTCATAAGCCGTCTCGTCTAGAGAGCTGCAGGAGGAAAAAACCCACCAGAGCACTGTCACCAACCGCACAATCATAATAGATACATACAAACTGGAAAAAACATGCCTTCCAGCTGCCAACATGGAGTGTGGGTGAGACTCAAAACCCTAGGGTTCTTGACAGCCCTGCTCTGCCTGACACTCTGCTTCTTTAAGTTTCTTTTCTGGTTAGTACAAGATGATCTACCTTTACTTTTCCTTTCGGCTTGCTTCAGCCTCATGAGTGTCAACATCACCCTAGCCTTTCTTATTCATTTGTTTTTCATTTATATTTTTAGTTAGTTTTGAAATGAGGATTGAGTTTATCATGTTTGAAAATGCTTTATTTGAATTTTATGTGCATGGTGTTTTGCCTGCATAGATGTCTGTGTGAGGGTACCGGATCCCCTGGAACTGGAGTTACAGACAGCTGTGAGCTGCCACATGGGTGAGAATTGAAAGGAGGTCCTATGGGGGAGCAGCCAGGGCTCTTACCCACTGCGCCATCTCTCCAGCTCCTCATTTATATTATTAAATCGATGGAAACTATCTAGCATGTACAGAGCATGAGAGAAGTTACAGGGAGAAGTAGCCTCTTTTCCAAACAATGACCATTCCCAGAGGCACCTGCATTTGACATGTCTTCTCTCTGCTCTTCTAGACTGTGTTTAAAATGTTAAAGTATAAGAAAGAATGAAGTACCCTGTATGTTTTTCTCTGAGACAAGGTCTTCCTAGATAGCCCAGATTGGCCTTGAATTTATGATCCTCCTGCCTCAGTTTTCCAAACAGCCGTGATTACGCCTATGTACTTCTATGTCTAGCTCATTATATTACCTTTTTTTTTTTTTTACACATCCACTTTTGCTGGACACTGAGGTTGTTTTCTTTGCTTTTGTTATTAAGTTTTTGTTGGGCAAGACAAAAAGTGGGGAAAAAGTGCTTGCATTACATATATCTGAAAATGGACTAATCCAGAATACAAATCCATAAAAAGAGTATCCAATAGAAAAATGGGTAAAATATTTATACAGATTTCATAAAATAGCCAAATGGCCAATGAGCATGTGAAAAGATGATTAACTCTGTTAATATTTTAAAAAGAAGATTTAAAAAATGAGATAGGTCATGAAAGGCACAGGAAGTGGAGCAAGCAGGGCTTTCTGGTGCTAGTGATGGGAGAGGCAGAGATCAATTGCTTTGGAAAACTACTGGGCTGCAGCCACCCAAGCTGATGGATTCACAAGTGACCCTTTAGGCTCCCTCTTGAGAGTATGTACAACAGAGACACATACCCAGGGTCCCTAAAGGACATGCAATATTTGAGCATGGTTGTACTGAAGCTATCTCATAGCACCAAATTGGAAAATGCCCAGGTATACAGATAACAGGAGAGAAGAATCGCACTGAGCTCCAGCTATGGGCCACCATCTAACAAAAGAGAATTGTCTAAGACTCTGAGAGTGATATGGGTGGATATCACAAATAAGACAATGCGGGATGCAGCCCATACAGACCTACTGATACCAGTTATAAAGTGTGTGTCTAAAGTAAACATCATGCCAGCTAATTCAGGCTGCTGTAAATCAGAATGGCAGTTACACTAAAGGGATAATGACTCGGAGGGAGCTGACAGAGGCTGCTGGCATTTTCTCTCTCTCTTTTTCTCATTTGAAGATTTACTTATTTTATAGCATGCATATGGGTGTTTGCTTGCATATGCACATTCGTACCTGCAGAGGCCAGTGTGTGGGGGGTGCCAGATATTGTGGAATTAGATTATGGATTATGTAAGCTGACATGTGGGTTCTAGCAATAGAGCCAAGGCGCTCTGCACAACGGCAAGTGCACTTAACCACTGAGCCATCTCTCTAGCCCTTGGTATTCTTTTTTTTTGGACTGGAACGGATTTCACAGTTACAGTTTAGTTTTGGAAAAATAATACAGCTGAAACCTATGGAACATTTCTCTACAGCTACTGCTTGTCAATTTTTATTTTTAATTAAAAACTTTTCTTTTTGAGACAGGCCCTCACTCTGCAGTGCAGGCGGACTCTGCTTGCTGACTGCTGGGATTGCAGGGGTGCACCATAAAAATCCAGACTATTTTTTTCTATTCTAAACATTGCTGTAGCAGGGCATGGTACTGTGTACCTGCAATCCCAGCTAATATATTCCCTGGGCCTGAGGCAGGAGGGTTGTGAGTTCAAGGCCAGCCTAAAACAAACAAACAAGTAAACACACACTACTCCCCCAAATCCTTGCACATTGCTATGAACCCGTAAACATGAGTTGATCGGTAGGTGCTGGGAGCAGGGGAAAGAAGAGATGGAGTGAATAACGAGGCCCACAAAGCTTCTTCCTGGAGTGGTGAACATTTCCTGGCATTAGATAGTGGTGACAGCTGTAGAAGCTGATAAATACTAACACCTCCGATGACTTCTATGGCATCTGAATTATGACAATAAAACTACTGTCCCGAGAAGTGGCTCTCAGAGCTAGATATGGACGAACTAAGTGTAAGGGCCTGGGTTCCACTCCCAACAAGATGAAAGACTATCCTGCTGTAACAGTCTTCCTTCTGTGGGCTTTGGTGCCCCAGTGGCGGGTATACGTAGCTATGAGATGCTCACTAGGCAGCCCCATTACCCAAGAGACCAGGGACCTACAGGAAGACACCGGTGGCTGCTGGTGCTAAGACATCTGATCCATCCTCTACCCGATCCACCCCCATACCAGGGCACAATAGGGACAGGCTACGGGACTGACCGGAATGTAGAAGCTGCTCTCTAAGACAGATGAAATGGAGACAGAGAAGAACGGTGGGTTGGGGTGTCTTGAGGACCTAAGGACCATTGGAATAATTGTTTTTTGTTTTGTTTTATATTTTCGAGACAGGGTTTCTCTGTGTAGTCTTGTCTGTCCTGTACTCACTTTGTAGACCAGACTGGCCTCAAACTGATGGAGATCCTCCTGCCTCTGACTCCCAAGTACTGGGATTAAAGGTGTGCACCACCATGCCTGGCTAGAATTGTCTTTTAAAAAAATAACTCCATTTATTCCTTATTTATTAGTGTCTGCATGTGCCTGTGCCTTGGCTTGAATGTGAAGAAAGAGATACACTGAGGAATCAGTTCTCTCCCTCCACCTTTCCACGTGTTCCAGAGATCAAACTAGACTGCCAGGCTTGCACAGTAAGTGCTTTCCCCGTGAGCTACGGGGAATATTCTTCTGTATGGTGGCTCCTTGACACTTTTAGTAGGTGTAAAAAGAAATGGACAGCGAGGAGACAACTGCCCTGTTTATAAAGAGATGGATTGGATTAGACAGAACTTTGGGATTTGCCGCTGCTAAAGTTGGAAGATTCAAAGAGAGAATCTAAGGCTTGGAACACTGAAGGCTTCTGGTAAGCCAGATAGAGGGGTGAATGTGTGTGGAGGTGGGGCAGGGGGAGCTTGACTGTTGCTCCGTCTGTGGTAGTCCGAATGAAAATGGCTGCCACAGACTCATAGGAAGTGACATTATTGGAGGTGTGGACTTGTTAGAGTAGGTGTGGCCCTGTTGGAGAAAGTGTGTCCAGGGGTGGGCTTTGAGGTTTCAGAAGTGCAAGCCAGGCCCAGTGTGTCTGCCTTCCTGCTGCCTGTGGATCCAGATGTAGACCTCTCAGCTACCTCTCCAGCACCATGTCTGTCAGCATGCCGCTGTGCTTTTATTCATGACGATAACAGACTAACTGTCGGCCAGCCCTATTAAACATTTTCCTTTATAAGAGTTGCCATGGTCATGGTGTCTCTTCACAGTAATAAAACCGTCACTAAGACACCAACCAAACTAAGAGTATTACGGACACTACTGAACATGAACCCACAAAACTGGCCCTTCATGCAGAGAGCCAGGCATGGAGGATGCAAAGGAATAAGTAGGCAGACTCTTTCCGAGTAGGAAGACATTTGGATAAGGGTTTGGCATACTGGGCCGAGAGTACGTAGGTCAAGAGCCTCTTAGGTATTTTGAGTAAAGGCCATTACAAAGAAAAGAGTCTGTCCTAACATAATTCACTGGACCCTTAAAACAACCTCTGGCAGCACAGAGTGTTCCCAACAGACAGTGGGCTCTGATGGCTGCTTGTCTCCAAAGAACGCAAGCTTCCCACCGTCTGCCTTCCTTACATCTGAAAGGATGATGGCCAAGGGGTCTCACCCTAGGCTGGGCCAGGGAGTCCTGGTCTGAGCTTGTGCCAGGTCGCTTGGCAGATAGCCAATGTTGCCAAGGCTTGTCATGAGGCTATTCTCTCAATGGGCATTGTTACTGCCCCTTGCCATCATAGGGTGAGTGTGTGAGTAAGTGTGTGTGTGTGTGTGTGTGTGTG